CGTGCCCTCAGCGCACACGCGCTAGACACAGATGTCAGTCTGTCATCTTACATTGTACACGAGCTATGTGTTCCTAGTGGATATTAATATAATTGTTGTCTACTTGTGCGGTCAGAGCGAGGCGAGCCGCGTGGAGGCGGAGGTGCGCGCGTGGGCGGAGCAGTACCGGCGCGCGGCGGAGGCGCACGGTCGCGCGCTGGCCGCGGCAGCTGCTCGTGCACGTGCCCGCCAGCGACAGCGCGTCGAGCGCGCACATCAAGACCTGCAGCAGCGCGCGCAACACGCACAGCATGCCGTACGCTTCACTGAAGAGGTACACTCTTGAGACTGTAACGTTAGTCGAGATTTGGTTACTTATGGAACTAAAACTAGTTTTAAATGGTCTCTATGAATTGAGGTGATTTGGTTATTTCCGATGTTTCGGTTCTATATAATAGCAGATTTATTCAACGGCTCCAGTGTGCGGCTGCCTTTATTGCTCGGATCAGAGTTTACCAACGGGAGTAAAGTCGAAAAATAATGTCCGTGCAGCTGCTGTCGGGAGGGCGGGCGGAGGAGGTGCTGTCGCTGAGCGGTCCCGCACTGCGCCGGCTGCAGCGGCTGACGGAGCTGCCGGCCGAGGCGCCGCCGCGTCTCGTGCTGCGCCTGGACCCCGCCGCGCGGCTCGGCCCCGACTCCGTGCTGTGCGGCCGGCTGCTCACACAGGCGCCGGACCCTGACACCAGTATACTGCACACTGAAGGCGAGCGTTCTTATTCACAATTATCTCGTTTCAAAATGTACCATAATTTATACGCTTATTAAATATTATACCTAAGAGTTGAAAGATATTTTGCTTTGGATTTATTTGTACAAATAGAATGAAGAATTTCATCATAATTAGAGATTCGTCATCAGGTCTACAAGACCTGCACGTGGACTGCGAGCACGAGGCCATCGTGGAGCTGCGCGACAGCAACGGGGAGAGGATTTGGTGCGGAGGGGAACAGGTCTGATAAATTATTTTTGTCAGCTTATAGCACGCAACATATGTCACACAGGGGCCCATCCCTCTTACTATTACCATGCTTAATTATATTTTCTGTATTCATGGCGATGAACCTCCTAGTGAATGCAGTATATGGTGCAGGTGGTGGGCTACTTGCGGCGGCGGGACTCCAGTGAGCGGCCGACATGTGCGCGCGCAGCAGACCGGCACGACGGCTCGTACGCGCTGCGCCTCTCACCGCGCGCGCCCGGCGCATACCTCCTCGCTGTCACGCTCAATGACACGCCCATCAAAGTGAGCACCAGATACTACTGTCAAGTAGCTGCTGATAGTGCCAGGATCTTGTCCTTCTTGAAGTTAGAATGTGTATTGTCTGTATCCAGGGCAGTCCGTTCGCATGCTGCGCGCGCGTGTTCAAGTCGCACGCTGGTCAGTTCCACTGCTGCACCTTCTGCTCGAGCG